AATGTCTGTTATTACATGTCAGTCATGTTATTTAAGGACAGACTTGTTTCCAAGTCATTAAGATAAACTGGGATCTTGAAAAGCAAATCCATCTCATTAATTGAAACAGTGGTAGTCTGAAGTTTTACCAGGAAGCTCAATAGCATGAACCTGCCTAAATTTATGAAGGTAGTGCACCAAATGTGGATAAATGTGGTCTCCAGCATTAACAGTGTAAAGTAACAAAAGCTATCAAATTACATTGCACTGCTTATTTCAGAATAAGAAATATTTGTCTTTTCAATTCATTAACACATTACCCATTTGTAAAGATTTGGGTGTTGACAGTAAACTTTTGAAGTAAAGTTGCCCTGTGTTTTTAGCAAGTACTTTGCAACTTGACAGTAGAAGCATTAGTACCTGTCCTAGTACATAAATAGCTGTAGATAGATGAATCAGTCTGTCCAATTTTAAATTAAATAGATGTAAAACAGGTCCTTTTTGTATATTGTTAGGCTGTATTCAGCACCACAGCATATTTCAAAGACTGCAAGTGTATGGGTCGGTGTATGTAGGCAACCTGTGTGTGTGTGATTAAATTAGAGAGAATGCGTGTGAATGTTGAGTTAGCTCTTCCATTCATCTCTATGTTAGATCAATGGGCTGTGGCTGCTTTTACTTCCAGACCACCTGGATGTATGTTCTTTTAATGAACACACACACTTTCGCTCACTTAGAAAAATGTTCCCCGAACAGTCGAGTCCACAAACAGGCATTCGGTTAGTAGTTTTCAGTATACACATGCATAGGTACACCCTCAGCCTTGCACACTAATGAATGGAACTTCTTTCTAATCCATCAGATTAATTGGAAGTGCCCAGCCATGGATTGAGGAATTTTTCATCCCCCCAACCCCTGCTCTCTCTTATAGCCTCTATCTGCAGTTTATGTTTATGTTGAGAGAGTAACATGCAGAGAGTCTTGAAAAATACTGAATGAAGTAATGTTTGTTTGGTTTTACTTGTGAAAGAAAAAAATCTAAAATGCAGTTGTTGCTCATTTGAGTGTCAATTAACATCCATGACATTTTGGTCCTTTCTATATAGTTCACACAATGCTGATTAATCTGTTGAGGCTTTTAGGAATTTCTGGACTCAAGGTGCGAAAACAGGAGCAGAGACAGAGAACGTTTTAAGATGTTTATTGTAAAAGTTTGCAAAAATCATAGAAGTTGAGTAATCAAACTGATAGTACTGAATTGTGGGTATACCAAACAAGGCAGGGGCCAGCAGAGGTTCTGGGTTTGACTGGTTTCCTGATAACGAACCAAGGCAGGCAGGCGTGGTCTCCAGACTGGGTTCTAATGCAGGGTTACAGATGAAGGGATGTGGCTTAATATTCCAGGCAGCTGAGTGATGGACCCGAGGCACAGGTAGACAGACTATTACCTATACAGAGGCAGGTAGCTGACGGACAAGTCATTTCAAAAAGACAGAGTGTGGCTTTAATGTTAACACCACTGGAAGTTACTGAACGATTTGGCGGAGTCTAGAGGGATCAACCAAACACAACACCAGCACAAAACACACACACACACACGTAACACAAACAGGACCATCGATGAAACAAGGACAAACAACACCCACAAGGCCAGGGGTGGGGGGGGGCAGAAGGCAAACAAGAGCAAGATGTGGTAGAAGACCAAGTCCTGACACTATCGGTGCCAGAGAAATCGGTTTGTTTTACATCTAGTATCTGTGGAGATATGAATATTTCCCATGCTGCGCACCAGTAGCAATGCATATAGTGATAGGAACAGAGCAGGCTACAACATGAGCATAAATTAGTCTTTGGCGGAAAAACCTAGCAATCGTCCAAGAAAAGTTTCTGATGCTCCATATAACAAAGAAACTTGACATTTGGAGGAAGGATTACTGTTGAGAAAAGAATGTGATCATCAAAGTTCAATGTTGAACTTTGAATTTCTCTGTATGCAACAGTGTTTGTGTAATTACTCTCCCAGGGGAGACAAAAGTCCAACATTGCAGGAGTTAATGTGAAGTTAGTTTTTTTAATTTACCTCATCTAACTATAGCAATCATTTCCCAGAGTGACTTGTCTTGTAGCTTTCCTTCATTTCCCTGTTTGTATGGTTTTTTTCTTGTATTGTTAATGAAAATGAATAACTTCATATTTGAGTTCAAGGGTATATTTCCACGACCCCATTGCAAGAAAAGAAGTAGACATTAAACATATTTATATATGTTTAACATCTACTTCTTTTCTTTTCGCAAAACCTCTAAAGTGCCTACCAACATGTGTGTGTGCTGCCATATATCACTCTTATAAAACCACAATATAAAGGTGCTGCTAGTATACAAGGTCCACCAAGGTACTGTAAACATGCAACGGAACACCTTTATAACCTGTATCTTATTCATATTGTGTTTATAAAAACAGTGTGTCACAAGGCACCAATGCTACACTTGTGTTTATGCCCATATGAATGTTTTTTATTGGTGGTGACTTGTGTTGCTTTATGTGGAGAAGTGCTTTTGTGATTTTGTCACTCTCTCCATAAAGTAACATAAAGATACAGCTTGTTTTGTTGTTATTTGGTGGATTCTATGAGCCTTGATGTAGCTTGTAAAACTGGTAACTCAGGAAAGGCTCTCATGTCAAATGAAACCAGAGTGTGAAACATTTTAAAAACAAGTTAATCTTAACTACAAATCATTTTACATTCCATTCCATTGAGCTTCACTGCGTTCCTAGTCAACCAAGTCCCAAGTCATACCCATAAGTTTTGTGTGCTGGCTTGTCATTTAGAAAGTTGTCTTACAAACTTTCAGACAAAGAGCCACACATCCAAAACAAACTTTCTTTTAAATTGGGGCTTAGGTTTGTCAGTCAATAATGAAGGCATCTTGATAACAATTCAGAAATCCATGATTGTATTGAAGACAAAAGGATCTGTTTCAGCCTTGAGCCTTTGTCGTCTTTACGTCTGCTTTCAAGTGACAAAAAGCTTCATTTCTCTCCACTGAAGCAGAGAAAAGCTGTCCACCCTTTACTCCTCCTCCTTTGTCATCTTCTATTCGTCCTTCCATTCTTATGCTTGTTTGATAGGGAAAGAAATGAACACTGGGGCAATCAAGTGGAAAAAGAGGCCCTTGATGTCCTTTAAAACTAGATGCTAATATCTGCATGCATTCAACAATGTGAAACACACTGAAAGACTCCCTATTTCTTTCTTTCTTTTTTCTTTCTATTTGTCTTCTATAGTCTTTTTCTTTGCATCTCCCCATCACTTACACACAGAGGCAAGTAGAACTAGGCGTCATTCAACTGGGCGAGCTGTGTGGCCATGGTGCTGGCTGCAACTAACACTGAATGGTTTGCTTGTTAGAAAACTTTTCTAGACAAACACATTGCTAGACTAAGGTGACACTTTTACATGCAATGACTTTGTAAAAGAATAATTTCTAACCAACCAAATCCAAAGAGATAAAGATGATTTCTGTTCAAGTTTTAATTCTTGAACAACCCTCAAACAATTCTGAGCTAAAATTGCTCCACTTTAGAGTCACAAACATTTAGGACAAGCACTCAAACTACACTACACACATTGACGTATACCCTAGCTTGTTCACATTATTACTAAAACAAATACTTACGTAATACAAAGACTAAAAGTACCATTGTAATAATATTAAGTGTGCAGCTGTCCAGGCAGTGTGCGCTGTGACGGACATAAAGAAAGAATACAGAAAACATATTATGACAGCAATTATTCTGCAATAAAAACAGCTCAGTAGACTAACATGTCTGTCAAGATGGTCCCTTCCAGCTGTCTGCCTGTCAGGTGCTTAACACAGTGTCACGTCAGGTTAGGGTGAAGAAAAACATGCAGAAAAGTGTCATTGCTGAGGAGTTGACATGCATCATGGCTATTGTCAAGAAAAGGACGTGTGTTGTGTTTTGCTTTACAATAATTGCATGTCCAGGGAATGGACATGCAATTATTTTTCTATTGAAGTCAAAGACAACCCAAAAATCCTTACAGTGATGGCAAAGGCCAAAGTTGAGCATCATTATAAGTGTAAACACAAAAAAGTTGTAAGGACAAATGATGACATAATGTTCTCTGGACCCAAACTGTGGAGTTTGGGTACACAACATACAGCTTGCACAAGACAGCTTCCAGGAAGAGGCAGTGTTATGCAACCTCATTCTGAATGGGAATTTATGATAAGCATCATACCATCATCATACCGTCAAACCTGTGAAATAGAGAATATGTGTTCAGTCATATAGTATGATCCATAGAGGATGCTACAAAAATAGAGAGGCCCTTGAATGGACAACAGATGTACAAAAGTTGAAATAAGTTTAGATTCATGTGAACCTGGACAACATGTGAATTCAATAAATACCAAAGAGAAAATTGGATTCCAAAAATTCTCTTAAATCCCCTATGCCTCTAGCCATGACTGCACCTTTACTCATTCAAACAATGACATCCCTTGTAATTCCCAAAAAATATGCATAAATTATCTTCTGTCTTGTCTGTTTTCCTTTGTTTGATAGATTTGGCTTGTTTTGTATTATTGTATTATTTGTAGTATTTAACACATGATAGATGAATATAGAGAAGGTCTAACAGCAGGAGTCTGCTTTTAGACGTTGGACAGTGAATGCGAGTTTATACAGCTGTGTGCAACAAGATCAGTGTTTGCTTATACTAAACAATATGATTGCACACAAAAGATAATGACATGTGAATTTAAACAAGCGTTGTGCTCTTTTTACTGCTATTTTTTCCTAATCCCTTTCACTTTGTTCAGTGTTTTCAACTTTGATGCTGGATATCTCCCACAACCCTGTTCCTAGCTCAATTCTCCATTGCCCTACTGTATGTCTCTTCATTCCTTTAATTAGGAAGATTCACTGAGCCTGTTACCTAGCGTGACCTTTTGTCAGGTGAAAATAACAACTGTCTCTTTCTCTCTCTCCCGCAGAGTTACATTCATGGCAGCAGTCAGGCTCAGTTTGTGGCTGAGTCTCACATAATCCTTCTTCTGAGTATCCTTACGCCAGCCTGTTTGTGAGTGCACGTGTCATGTGTTGACATAAATCGTAACATGATGCCGCAAAATGAAAATCATGCTGGGTAATGTGACTCTGTGACATGTTTAACAACTCATAATGGCGACAAACTCCCTCAATTTTCCATTTACATGCAACACCCACGAAGCCACTTTTATATTTCTGGCATTACAACTTTGCTGCCTGCCGCTCTTATTTTCCCAACATGCGCTGTCTGCATGCTCCATAGGGAGGCTGCCTGCAGGACTGAACAAACACACCAAAGACAAGAGATTGTCTTCTTTTAACTTCACATCCTTGCCTTATTTGTTCCAATTGATGATAGACTGTGTCTGAGTGTACGTCTGCTTTTGTGTGTGCTCGCTTGACAGGACAGATGTTTGTGTTCTTCTCTATCTGCTTGTGTACCCAGGTGTACTTGTGCCAGTGCATTTGTATGTATGCAGGTAATGATACTGTTCATTCCTCGCTGTTGTGTTTGTCCTCAGGGGAAATAGCAGGTCCAAGGTTGCACCTGCTTCAGAGCAATATTTGTCTGTCCACGCTCCCACTCTTTGTTTTTGTTTTATTTTCTGCTCATCTGATTACATCTAAATGAAACACACACACACATGCCCACATTCACACCTGCTGAAATGCTAACACACCTACTCTCTTGTCTGTGCAGGTGGTGTTAACACATTTTATGACCGTCATAGACATCCCCATGGATTTAACCCTGTTTGATTCCTCATACACACATGCACACACACACACCCAAGTACCAATTGTAGTTGCATATCATTTTAGGGTGAGACAGATGCACAGATGTACGTATTTGGATGTTTTATTTTTGTGAGTATGGCAACTTTAATGTGAGTAGGTTCATATCAATATAGAAGGTATGTGTGGGACAAACCAGGTCAAACTAAAACCTCTGTCAATCGCTGTGTCCCAATTCAGGGGCTGATTACTTTGGAGGATGGCCGGACTGAAATGTGACAGACTGGTCCACAGAGAATCTTAATAGTAGAAGCCTGATACTAGTGCGTACTCTTCTTAAATTTTGGGCTGGTCGTTTGTTGCCATTATCTCTTGTTGAAAACCCAGTTGTCAGCAGTGCGAAATTAATCCTTGGATACTTTTAGTTGCTCAGGAATTGAAAGACCCTGGAAATGAGACAGCTTAGCCGCACTGCTGTGACACAAACAGTCTTCAAATACATCGTCTGAAGGTTGCGGCCCATGAATTGTGAGAATTGCTCAGCTATTGACTTAAGTTGAACCTCAGACATCACCAGACATTTGTAATCTTCCCTGGTGATACTCCCTCAGAGCTAGACTGGTCTCTCTGCCTTTAGTCTAGTCTTCAGCAGTTTGAATGGAGCTCAAGGTCACTCGCCTTAAAATCAGGTGATTTACTAGGCCAGTGGACGGATATACCACCTGAAAACCTCACCCTCAGCATTCATCCTGTTGTTTCTGTCAGCAATGAAATCGTCAATAAATGCCGGGGGAGCCACTTCCATTTGAAGCCACACATTTCCAAACCATAATTGATCTACTGCCTCATTTGACAGATGAGGTGGTGGCTTCAGGCCACAAACTTCTTTTTTTATCTCTACATTTCCTTTTTTCATCTGCAGACTGACCTGTTTTGAGGTTTACCCAGAGTTCTCATCATGTATTGAATCCTCTGAGGTTAAAGTCATCATCATTGACAAAAATCATGTACATCTACTTCCTGGATGGCATGCTTGACTTGCTGCGAAGACATAACAAAGTTTTTTCATCACTGTGCAAAATATTTATCTTCTCCGTGTTCAATCAGGTGGTTTGCCATTTTCTAGTTCTCCACTGTGCACCTTTTGTTTTACAGTGTACCTGTTGAATTTAGCAAACCAACTACTTTTGATACTCCACCTCAAGCAGAATAGAAACTCTCAGCCAGTGATGAACAACAAATAAACTCTATCTGTATATGGACTAACATTTAAACAACACACATCTGCCCAACAACCATTTCAAGTGTCTAATTTGGGGTATTTTAGGAATTATCTCTTGAAAGATTTCTCACAAAGTTCCACCTGTATTAACATAATCCATTGTTACCTCCGCCAAAAAGGTTATGTTTTCACCTGTGTATGTTGGTTGGCTTGCCAGCGGGGAATATGCAGAACCAACTCAACAGATTTCCATGAAACCAGGCAGAAGAATGAGACATAGGGAGAGAGAGCCCACTCAATTTGTTAGGTTGAATACAGGAAGAAAAACATTGCACAGGGCGTTTTTTGGCATTTTCCAGTGAATTTGTAGATCTTTAAAAAAAAATTCAGGCATATGTAGGGCACTGATATTGATGAGATTGTGCTATTTTGTGCAGAGATCCAAACAAAAATCCAGATCTAGTGCATTTAAATGTGGTTTCAGCTGATGAATGGTAACAAAAAAGGCTACCAATTACCACCAATGTTCATAGCTGAGATAACGTGGATTCAGTTGGAAAATCAATACCGTGTAATCATCTGCACACTTTATATTTTTCTCAAGTGCTTACATACACACTAATGTATTGACGTATACATGCCGCCATGGCAACCCTCTTAAGTGGAATTGAATCTGGTGCATACACGTGGTTTTTTCTGCTTTCTGCCTGTTTGGTATTCTGGTGACGTCTCTAAACTTGTGCAGTTTGAGTGGAGGGGCTGAAGTGAATATATGGTGACAGCATTTAGCACCCAGATTTGAAACTTCTTGTTCAGGTGCAGGCAACTCGAGTGTGAATATTTTCCAGGATGATCAGGGTGCACGATGATGATGGATAATATCAATGCAGATGGCAGACCTGGCAGTAGGATGATAAGTGGACAGTAGCTGTGGTTGCAGTTCACGACACTTTGTTAAATCTAATGTGCTCAACACATTTCTCATGTTCTCTTGCAGGAGACAGGTGTAGGATGTCTGTAGCCCACAATCTATTTATTATCATGACTTTATTATTACACTGTGGCAAAGCTTCTTCCATCCACCCAAACAGGCCGATCCATGGTTCAGTTCCATCATTGTATGTGGAGGTATCTCTATTGTTTGTGTCTCGTCACCATATCATCGAGAGGATGCCTCAGTGTCTGCTCTGTTTCTCCCCTTGTGGCAGCCTTTGTTTGTGCTTCCCACCAGGTTTTCTTCAGTAATGTGTATTTGTATGCGGAGCACGCTGACAAGAATCCGTAATAAGGTGCTTAGCACCATGAGGCTGCTCACTATTGTCTGAACTTTTCATAATCTGATGTTTTTATTTCAAGAAGACATATCACAATGACTAAATGATGCAAGTACATGATGCCAGTTTAAAAAAATATATCTTAAGTCATAAAAGTGAGAAGTGGCTTCACAGGCCCACATCATCAGTGGCTGCCCTCTTAGTTTAACCTTTTGACAAAGACAAGTGAAACTTGCTGATGAATTAAAAAACATTTAAAGGAAGATGTTTTCAGCAGTATCTGTATGACAGATTGAGAACAGCATTTTGAAGAATGTAAAAATATGGATTCAATTGCTTTCTCTTTCTGCAAACTGCGTGCTGATATTGTGCCCGTTCTGGTGACGTCTCTAAACTTGACCACTTTAGTAGAGTAGCTTAAGTGAAATTTTGTTGACAGCATGCAGCACCCAGTTTTTAAACCTTTTCTTATGTTCACGAACAAATTGAGCCTCTTGTTTGTTAGATGGTTTCAATTAATGTTTCTCAGAAGTTTATCTCTGTGAGTTTTTGCATTTGTGTTTCCTTTTCCCATGTACAGTTCTTAGGGAGCAGTTTGTAGGCAGTCATAAAGAAATACAGTCCTGCTCATACTCCAGGTAGTAGACATCAAACATCACTGAGGCTGATTATCTACTAAAGACCTTTGAATAATTGATGATTAGTAACACAATCACTTAAAGGTACAGTGTGTAGAATGTTGTGATATCTAGTGTTGAAATTGCATGTTGCAGCTGAACACCCCTCACCTCACCCTCTCCTTCCAAATATGAAAAAGAACCTGTGGTAGCTTCAGTTGTCATAAAAACTCAAAAGGTGTTTAGTTTGTCCAGTCTGGACTAATGTAAAAAAACATGGCGACCTCCAGAGAGGACCCCCTCAATGTAAATATAAAGTATTTAAATATAAAGGACCTTTTCTGGGCTAAAGAAAACTACAATTCATACAATTTAGATGAAACAAACTAGTGAAAACATCATGAGGATTATTCTACATTAAATTTCTGCCCAAAGTCCCCTTTCACCTAAATCTTACACACTGGACCTTTAACTGAATAAAATTTAACAGCAGAGACAAATCATACACTTCAAAATGTCTCTTACTTCTCAGACAATTCTGCACATTCTTGTTGTGAAGGCACTAAGTTTGTGCCACAATCTGGAAGTGTTAAGTAGTCTCTAGTACATAAAACATATTGAAATAAATATAATAATTAGTCAAGAGGTTTTCAGTGTACAATGGGTAAATAATATAACAGTTTCCTCAGATGTTCTTAAAATGTTGAGTGCTGCCGGCAACAGAAAAAAATTAATTAACTACTTTTCTTCCTTTCAGTCCACAGCATCACTGAGTGTGTATGCGTGTTTTTATTTTGTGTTTAAAAGTAAAGTTTAGCGTGAATCGCTATGTGTTATACTAGACATGTACTGCAATACAAATACCCCCTTAAATTAGCAGTTTGATTCACTCCTCTTTGACCCAGTCTCAGCAAACAAGAGGATTTTAATTAGTCTTTGTCCATTCTAATGCTGTTTAACTGGATTTTATTATACTTATATAAGTGTTCATGTTCTTATCTTCACACCATATTCTTTAAGCTATAGCAGTGCACATGCATTACTTGCTAATCTGCTCAAGTGCTTCTGTGCACATGAATGAACAGTATATCTGTGTATTTTCTAACTGTGTGTATCGCACTTCTTCCCGGGGCATTGTGTACTTCATGCTTCTCCCCCTCTTGTATTCGAGTGTGTTGTTTCCTTGACAACCTTGTCCCAGATGCTGCAATCACCATGGGGATGGTGCTGCTGAATGAGGCGGCCACCTCCAAGGGAGACGTCGGCAAGAGAAGAAGTAAGTAGAGAAGGTGTGTGTGTGCGCGTGTGTGTGCGTGTGTGTGTGTGTGTGTGAATGAGTGTGAGGATAAAATCAATTCAAGAGAAACCAGATTCAAGAGAAGCTGAATAGATTAAACATTTTAAAGTAAAGCGTAATTATTAAGACAATTAATGCTACTTTTGGTCCCGGCCTGAGTATTTTTAATCGTAAATTCTGAATAATTTCAAGCCCTGGCTGACTACAGAGCTTTGGTGAAGCTTTAAACAAACTATGTGAGAGTGAGTTTGTCCTTCAGCGATTTGTGCTCGGCTCCTACAAGCTTGTCTCAGATCCTATAGACGGAAACATTAAGCCAAGGGCTGAATGTACCACTAGTGTTATCCTGAGGTCTTTTAAGTTTTAGAGGGACTATACAGTTCAGGGTGTGAGAGAATGATAAGTTGAAGATTTGAGCAGAGAGAAGAGTAACTACAGCTCCACAGTGCTACTATTCTTTAACTACATAACACTAAAATAAAAAGAAATCTGGACAAACACTATATGGGAGTTTTGTCACAATTGGTCAAAAATCCTGAAAACCTCAATGACATATTTTCAAACTCAGTCAATATTTAATAGCAAGATTTTGAAATAAATCCATTCCATTTGTATTTTTCAGTTTAAACTTCCATGTGTGATTTAACAATCTAAAGAAATAAAAACTGTACTCGCTGAGGATTTTGGGACCATTTTCCCTCTTGTAATTGTGGCAGAATTTTTGTGATGGAAAAAA